AACTGAAATAAGAACTCAATAATGCGGAAGCAGAAAACCGAAGATTAAAAAACTCTTCAGGGAAGTATCCCACTTCCCCTCAGAGCTCTTTCATTGATAGATCAAACATACCCATAGCTTGGACTTACAAAGACTCGAACTCCCTTCAAGCCTAGCCAACACTACTCAGATCCTATCAACTATTTCTCCGGCCACGTCCCGTGGACTTTAACAATCTACACTTACTCCCTAAGTGTATAAGCTGTAAAGTAGTTTTGGATGAAACATAAAGAACTAAACAAAAAACAGTTTCAATCCTTGAGTGAGTAAGAACTCTCAGATTGAACTGTGTACAACTGAACTTAAACTGAAAATACGAAGCTCAAATATTGCTCTAAAAATCTTCAAAACTCAGCAGCCGCAATGAGAGCTTCCACTAGGGTATTTAAAAATGAATCTCCTTATGGTTGGAGTCTTCTACAAGGCATGAGACTCCAACCTTGATTTCTTTCCATATAAATAGCATATCTTAGGTAAGTAGATCTCCTCTTCTCTCTCCATAATCTTTTCTACACGCACGGCTCTTCTTCCCTTTATCTCTAGCACTTCCAATTTCCTACAAAATAAAATACCATAATAAGACCCACAATATCTTATATATGGAATGTAAAATAAACTTAATTAAGGAAGTAAAATATTTGAAGATCTTCCCTTTTTCTGTGGTTCCAGGTGCTTGTTCAAACCAACGAACTAATGCCAAAATAAAATATCTTTCAAAGACGCCCTTTTTCCTGCTTCTACAAAGCATGTGTTCTCATACCCCCACCCCCTAGTTACAACAATAGAACTTCTCGAACCCCCAGTTATAACAAAAGAAAAACTGGGATTTTTGTGGTGTTTTATAAGTCGAAAAGTTACCTCAAGCAAATTATGAGGCTCTCTTTCTAGAGCTAGACTATTGATAAACGAAACTGTGTCAACCCAAAACTATTGCTCAAATTTTTTGTATGATTATCAAGGGTCAAAAAATGATCAAGAATATGGCTTTCTTTTTCTCTTTTTTTGTTTGATGTTGAGACTGAGAGAAAGATGAAGGATGAATCGCTCATTTTCTCTCTCCTCCACCCCTCATGCATATATATACATGTAACTTAAATAAATAATAAATGAAAAAAAATACATTAGCATTTAATGTTATGTGACAACTAGGGGGCCCACTTATGACTTTTGACGGTTTCGATTGACGACTGTCTTGTCGATAATTATCGCATCTACCGGAGGAGGCTTCATTATGGTATCTGTGCCGATCGATCACCTTGGATTCTGTTCAGCTCTGCAACGGACTGACTCGACACCTGGGAATCCGATTGACTTTTAGGTTATCAGTTTTGGGAACCTGATTATATATTTATTTAACATGTATTTTCGGCTCCTTAATTATCGGACCGTTCTTTATTATTTTATTTGTCAATATATTATTTGGAGTCAAATTGGATATCAACAAGTATGATTATAATTAATTGTTTTTTAATAATAATGATTATATATGCTATTTAGTATGTCATTTTAATTGTACCTTAATGTTCCAGTATATAATCACTAATGAATGGTCTTCATGACCCTTTTTCCATAAAAATCAGCCCTCATATTCTTTTTTCCCTGAAATATTTTTCTTTTAATATGCATGAGTTAAAATATATATCAATGTGGCTTACTGCTCTAATATATGTGGTGTGTACAGTTTTGACCAAATTTAGACCCTTCAATCAAAGAAAAACAAAAAAAAAAGAAAACATCACATTCCAACTTTCTTTTAATATCCTCTAAATCATTTTCCTTTTGCTGGATTTTTATTTTGCTTCTATTAGAAGTATTGTTTGTTGTTCAATCAACAAATACATCCATCATCATCATCATCATATATATCCCACCTAACCATAAATTTCCTTCAAAAACAAATTTGTCAACAACATTAAGAATCTATCTAATCAAATTTTAGCGCTCGAAGCTCTATCTTTTTTTTTGTTTTTTTTTTTTCTGCATTCATCATTCTTTTTTTGTCCCTCATCACATTATTATACCTTTTGAGGTAAAATCTTTTTGAGGGACTTAAAAAAGATAATGGGTGCGTGTTGTTCGTGTCATAGGGGTGTCGGTCATTTCGAAGGTCTTTTCATGGAAGGCGAATCGGAAGGCAATAAAGTGCTCGATAATGGAAAACTCATATCGAGAGGAGATAAAGGCGCGCTCATTCGTCTTCAAGGTTCGTCTAAATATGTTTCTATGTTCTCACAGCAAGGCAAAAAAGGCCTCAACCAAGATGCCATGACAGTTTGGGAGGTAATAATATTATAATATGCATGAAAATATATAAATATATTTCCTTTTTATCCTTTATGTGTATAATTGGGCATCAAAACTAACCATTTTCTCTGTTTTTACATAACCTTTTTCTTTAGAGCTTCTTAGGTGATAGAGAGACATTCTTGTGTGGTGTGTTTGATGGACACGGGCCCTCGGGCCACATGGTTGCACAATACATTCGTGACATTTTGCCAAAAAAAATTTCATCTTTATGTAAAAGATGGGACATTGAGGAAAGAAATCGTGAGACTGAGATCAGTCCGGAGATTAATAAGAATCAATTGTTTCAATCATGGAAATCAAGAATGATAAAATGCTTCCACGAGATGGATGATGAACTCGAGGCTAATGCTTCGATTGAAAGCTACTGTAGCGGCACAACATCTGTTATCGTGCTTAAGAAGGTATCATAAAACTTGTTGTTCGAATAATAGTTTTAGTTCCAATTCCAATAAGTTGACCCTTTTTGTCAGGGTGAACACCTGATCATTGCAAATTTGGGGGACTCGCGTGCTATCCTCTGCAAAAGGGATGAAAATAATCACCTTGTTTCAAAGCAGCTCACAGTTGATCTCAAACCAAATCTCCCAGGTTGTTACAATTTACAATATCTTATTAAATTTGGTTTAATTTATAGAATAATAGTAATAATAATGTATTATAAATCTTTTTAACTTGGTAATAACCTAGATGAAATGGAGCGAATAAAAAGTTGTGAAGGTCGAGTTTTGGCTATGGAAGAAGAGCCGAAAGTGTACAGAATTTGGATGCCAGACCAAGATTGCCCTGGACTTGCCATGGCAAGAGCTTTTGGAGACTTTTGCTTGAAAGACTTTGGTCTCATCTCAACTCCTGATGTAACTTATAGAAAGCTCACTGAGAGCGATGAATTCATAGTCTTAGCAACCGATGGGGTAAGTCAAAACCAAGCTTTTTAACTCATCATTAAGTATTGTCACTTATCAACTGTTACGTTTGTATTATATTCATCAATTTTTTTCCTTAAAATGAGTATTTGCTTATTAGAGTGTGTTTGGTAAGCACAATAAACTAACTTATAGTTTATTTGGTTAGCTTATCAGCTTGTTGTACTAAAATAAATTTTGTTTAGTATAACGAGTCTTTTTAAAAAGTTCGATCTTATCCTTAACTTTTCAAATAAGTTTATTGAAAATTCTACCAAACACTTGTATCATATCATTAGTTAACTCTTTAGACATAAGCTACTCCGAAATTCAATTATAAGTTGTCGGTTAACTGATGATCTATCAGCTAGCTTATCAGCGAGGTTTACCAAACACAAGCTAATCTGAGAGAATCATTTTTGATTAATCAGATATGGGACGTGCTGTCAAACGACGAAGTCGTAAAAATTGTGGCCGCGGCAAGAAAACGATCAATGGCAGCAAAGCTTCTTGTCGACGAGGCCGCGAGGGCTTGGAGGCACAGATTCCCGTGCGCCAAGACTGACGACTGTGCCGTTATCTGCCTTTTCTTCAAGCGCCAACGACCACTCCTTACAAAATCCTATTCAGAAGTGTCCCACCTAAGCCAATCAGAACTACGTGGCGGTGGGGCCCACAGCCACGCGGGAACAGACGATGGCCTCGACACGGTCTTGAATTGGGACGACGGTCAGAAGTCATCGCATTATTACAGCCGTCGTCTCAAGAAGAGAAGGTTGGTCGCCAAGCTAGAGACAGTTGGAGAGTGATATTTATGATTTGTTTGTTGTTTGTTTGGGTGTAAAATTGTTTTGAGATTTGAGGGGAAGATTTTTATTTATTTTATTTTATATAATGCAACGGCTACCCCGGAAGTTTTATTTTCAAAATCACTAGTTGCTCGTCGTTAATAATACTTTTCATAAGTATGCAATTGATATATATATGTTTGGAAAATAGGAATGGGTATCTCTGTAAATTGTTTTGAAAGGTGACTTACCTTTATGGAGGCTTACTTACAATAGGTAAATATGGTTGTTTGGAAAATGTAATATGTTAAAAAGCCTTGTAAAGCATACCTGACAGTGACACTTCAATTTTCCTGAATAATATAATTTATGGGGCAATTATGAATTGTTGCAATCCCATTAAATAGTGCAAAA